TCCCACCGAAAGCGGTAGTTAGACGGCTCCCTCTGCAGTTTCCCGGCCGACTTTCCGTTGACAAAGAGTTCAGCCTCGTCGGCAGCTGAGAAGACATGGACGGGGGTGACTTGACCAACACGGTCAGGCCATGTCCAATGAGGTAGGATATGCGCCATGGGGCTAGTTACAAGTTAGCAATCATCCAAGGAAAGTAGATACTTGATTTAAGGGCTTGATGTGTGTTTCCGGACAGCTAAGCTACAGCCGGTAAACCACGAATCTAGTTGAGTGAATAGTTCACGTACTATGGATCTGTTAGTCACCATTTCACACCTAAGCATAGGAGAGCAGGTAAAAAGCTAAGGCTTAGAATAATAACTGTACGTACCAAGTTAGGGCGCCAGCGGGCCTGGTATAAGAAGAAGCGGTCCTTCTTGAAACCTGCAAGGTCGATGATGCCAAAGTAGGAGCTGCGAGCCTCGGTGTCGAATGGTGAAGGTTCACCCAAGTAGTCCCAGCCCGTCCAGACGAACTCGCCAGCGACATAGGGGTACCTATCCTGCATACCAAATACCTTATCGGGAGAAGAGCCCCAGGAGACGGCGTAAAGCTCGTAAGCGCTGACTGACAAATTATCCGAGGCCATGCCCGGCCCTTCTGTGACGGTGGTGCTGTTGGCGCTGGTCACCGGAAAGAGATAGGTCCCACGTGAGCTGACTGCCGACGAGCTCTCGGTAGCCCATAGTACCTTTTCGGGGTACGTTGAATGGTAGCTCGGGTAGGCCGAGTCAAACGACGTACCGCGACCCTCGCCTTGATAATTCATTCCGGGGATGTCGACGGCGTCGGCGAACTCGCTGCCAGCCTTGGCGTTGTTTATGCCAGCGCTAAGTTGCCGCGTCGAATCTTCTTCCTTGACGATGCTGCGGAGCTCTCTGGCGGTCGCACCGCCAGAAGAAGTTGTTTGCTCGACAATCTCGTTACCGAAGCTCCATGCTATGATAGAGGGATCTATATTCAAATAGAGTTAGTGATATCCCATGCTATCGCGACTTCCGTAGAATCATTTCAACAGTTATTATCGATAATGCTGTCTGGGAATAAATGCCTGCCGCTTCCATAGAAGCGGTAAAGCTTTGAGTACCTAGGCATGGCGATTAGGGATGCTTACGGTTGCGGTCACGTCGCATGAATGTCCGAAGATCCGGCTCATGCCAATCGTTGAAATACACATGATAATCGTCATCAATCTTCTCCTCCTTCCAGACATCAAAGATTTCGTCTAGAACCAGAAATCCGAACCTATCTGCCAGGTCGAGGAACTCAGGGGCGGGCGGGTTGTGAGACATCCGAAGCGCGTTACAGCCCATCTCTTGCAATAACTCTAGCTGCCGCTCGGCCGCCCTAAGATGGAAAGCAGCACCTATGGAGCCTTGGTCGTGGTGGTTGTTGGTACCTTGTACGTAAACCCGCTTGCCATTGACAGAGATGCCGGTGTTGGCATCATAGGTTATGGACCGGATACCGAAGCGCGTTTCGTAAGTGTCGATAACGGTGCCGTTGGCTAGTAGTGTTGTAACGGCGATATACATTTTGGGCTCTTGGTCTGGCTTAGGCCCCCAGAGTTGAGGGTTCGCCACCGTCACTGAAGTATTGACGAACTGCTTGCTATCTGCTGCTACGCTTGCGGTCGCTCCTGGAAATGAGGTAACTGCATCTGTTCCGGCTTGCCCGGTTTTAGTATCAAACACGTACACATCAGTCTTCACCTCCACCTGGCGACTGGCATTTCCCTTGTTTTCGATCTCGACAGACAGGTCTAGGTCGGCCGATTCGGCCGATACGACTGGAGTTGTGATGAAGGTACCATACTGGCTGATATGGGTCTGGTCGACCTTGACAAGCCAGATATTCCGATATAAACCAGCGCCAGGATACCAGCGTGAGAAATTCAACGGGTTGTCAATTCGGATAGCCAGCAGGTTCTCCCCGACTTTTAAATATGGTGTGACGTCTAAACGGTAGCTATTATATCCGTATGGCCACCCACTACAACGAGAGTCAATGCCTATTTCTTAAAGAGGGGGTTTCAGGGGCTGGATCATGTAGTGAAAGCGATTGCCTAAGGTTTACCTTAGGCTATCGTATTGGACTGGTAGGTCTCTCAGATAGTTTGATGGCCTAATTATTAAAAGAGTAGGTATCTTTCTCTAATCTTAAAATGTTTTATTAGGTATCCTTAAATGGTAGAATACCAAGTGAAAGATTTTTTTAATTTTTTTTTAAAAAAAAACCCCCAAACAAGCCCAATATGAAAACATTTAATATCAAGGAGATAGAAAGGGAAAGAAATGATTTTAGTTTTTACATACCCTACCAACTGGCCATTAATGAAGACCGCAGAGTTAGACATGGCGCCGTCGATGTCCAGGAAAACAGACTTATCGGTGTCGCTCGATTCTATTGTCAAGTTGCGGCGGTACCACCCTACCCCGTTGATAGGCAAAGCACCCATACTGTTGGGGATTCCAGCGGCGTGGAAGGGTCCTTTGATAGCCCAGTCGTGTGGAACATCCACGACCTCCCACTCGCTGTCGTCGAACGATGCTTGCACGTATTCGACGTCGCTGCCCGGAGAACTTCCCGTCGGGCGCTCATGTTTAGCACCATTAACAATAAAGTCGTTGCCGGAAGGAAGAATCCATTCCTTCATCGTGTCGTATGACAGCGAGTCGGGATTCGACGCGAAACGGGAGAAACGCCAGCCGATATTGATGCTAACGCGCTCGCGCCCTAACGCCACGGCTTGATATTCTCCAGGAACCTTCCTGACAACACCCGCATCGGCAGTTTGGGGATGTCCCAATAGCACGAGCCCCGGTAAGAGGAGACCGAAGGCCTTGAAGACCATCTTCGCAAGTAGCGTCATTTTGCACGAGTGCACGTGTGGGTAGTCGACAGGAACGAATGGGACTGCATCCTATTCTTATATAGGTACCTACCTCGTCCGGTGGGAGTTTGCCACGCCAGGAATCACCGGAACCATGCTCGGCCAAGATATCAACGTTGTGGGGAGAGTGGTATAACATCGGTAGAGAGCCGGATTTGGATCCTAGTTTCTCGGGCTCCGGGTTATTTCTAGTCGAATACCTAGTTGAACAGGAGTCCTAATTGAAAGGCAAAGCTGGAGAAACCCGGCTTCTTAGGGCCCCAACGTCGCGATATGCCTGTGATTGGTGCGAATAACAACGTAACAGGGATTGTATGTGTACCTAAGGTAGGTACTTAGATGACGGGACGCGGACGGCGGACGATAGCGCAAGAAAATGCGAAAGTGCTATTTTGTTGAATTGGGCAGTAAGGGAGCGGTATTCAATATGTGCGTCGTATTCATCAGATACGTGTTGTGTATAAGGTACCTAAGAATGCTCTTTTTTCCTCTGATACCCAACGGCGTACGAGGGTTCGGGCTAAAAGTTTAGAAAACAGCAGGCCTAGCACCGTTTTCAGCAGGAATTACTTACTAATCTGCACTGTATAGTATATTCGCTAAGCTAAGAGCCATACAGTGGTCCGTTCCCTACGACCTAGGTGGTAAGCCACTATAATTCTAGGTGTTTTAACCACTACAGCATTGGAACATACTGTGCCACTTTATTTGTTCACACGTCCACGGGTGGCTTACATAACATCATTGAATGTTAAATTTTTCCTTCTGCCTTCGAACGCGCCGATCTCATATATCTAACCGCGCTCTTTCAATAGAGCCCAGCGTCTAAACAACTGCACTAAGTAAAATTATTATATAAAAAAAGACACTACTTATACACGAACCATTTTAGGTACGTTAAGCTCGCTGAAATAAAAAATCCCTATGCGCTTGCTTCCACTTTAGCCGGGGTGGCTAAAAACGAGGCTCCTAGAGCTGTGCCGCTAGCTCGCCAGTTAAACCAGCAGTAGCTCAGGGGAGCCCAGGAGAGCTCAGGTAATTGATTAGGGCAACTTTCAGGTGACGTATAGGTCTGTTGCGCAACCCATATTACACGCGACTGGCAGCAGCCGAGTACCTAGAGACGAAGTTTTACAGAGGATACGACACGATTGACAAGAGTCCCCAAGAACCCGATTTTCTGCCACGATTCGCGCGCACCATCGTCCAACGTCTCGATCTAGCATCGCACGTCACTGCGATGCATATTGTGCAAGGAGGCGTGCTAGCAGGTTACAAGAGTCAGACGCAATTGATTAAATCGACATTTGAATTTAGTGTTTCAAAGAATCTCCTTGCACGATAGGAAATGCGCGACGGTCGGCTTGGTGGTCGCTTCTCTGAATGGCGGGATTGGGATTGGAATAATATAAGAGATTGCACTTGTGGCTCGCTACACTCGCTATTCTCGAGAGCTTGCTTCTTGTCATTGACCACAATGCTGAGTTACGGACCCTGGAGGATTCTCCCCACTTGAAACTATCGTCTGCAGACTTCAGGCCTGATAGGAAACACTGAATTATCACTCCAACGAACTAAAGGCGCTGTACGCAGCAGCACCCAACCTCCAAACCGTTTATACATATAACGCAGGGGGCCGGCCCAAATACACTTCCTAGGAAGCGTATCGTGGCTATGAGTACGAGCTGACGAGACTAGCTATCTCAGATTTGATTCCCGATCGTTTAGGTAGGCTACTCCCATGTGTCCCAAAGCTAGAGGAGCTGGAGTATCACTGGGATGGCATGGCAGAATTCGGCGTCCCAGACTTCGTAGACCTGTTAAGGCCTGTAACGAGGATGCTCAGGAGACTCCATCGAATATTTCCCACGCAGCTCTGAGGATATATTGTCCGATCCATTTCCTACAGGATTATTCTCCAATCCAGACTCTTCACGAGTTTGATAACTTAGTGGGTTTGGTGGTAAGTTGTTAAGAAGACTTGATGATAAAGACGAGATGAACCCTGGTGGGGCAACCTACGAAGAGCTTATAACGCATCAAAAATAGGAGCTTCCCTAACTGACTAGCCCCTATAGCTCAGTGGTAGAGCGTTCCACTCGGTTAGTGCAACACATTCACACTTAATATCAAAAATAAATCATACTAATATCCTACAGTATCATATGATGTGAAATGGAGAGGTCCATCGTTCAATCCGGTGTGGGGGCATTGAATCATTTTTGGAAAGAAAAAAAAATCTTGAGAGTTAGGCAGGTAGGCATCAAACCAACAGGTATTTCATGACTCCTTTTTTACATATTTGGCCTCTATGCCCACCCCCTTTTATCGTGATTGGCATTGATCCGTATATACAGGTATCTACCTACCTATTACATGTTGTCCACATGGAAACTTATTGGTTATTCAACTTGGACAATCCCCACGACAGATGAATCTTCTCGGATGTCCGCTTGTCTTCATGGACCAGGATAGACACATTTCCAACTGGTAGCCTGGCTTGTATCATTAAACCCGTCCCATTTGCTGGCCAAAGAATAAGGGCAGTACGCTAATTGTCATGATATTAGTATAGGGAGACTTTGTAGTCTTGGTGCACAGCGGTACTGCTTACTTCGTTGCGCTGTAATTTTACTTCCAATGACATCGTTCTCGTACTTTGTGCCGACCAATACCTCTGGTGGCGATCCATTTTCGACCCAATCGATGAGTGCAAGAAGGCCATTGTGTTTCGAGTTGAGCAATGCCTGGTCGTAAGGGTAGCTTTGGGCACTACCAATACTCCATGCTCCTAACCCACCAGCGCAATGATTCATCCCCGGAAGGAAAAAGAGTCTGTAGAAATCATGCATTTCTGTCAAGCTCAGGTCGAGTGTACTCTGAATGTCACTGAAAAATCTTTCCGAAAGAGCTGATGTGATAGTCTGAACCGTGTTAACACTCACTCATATAAAGAGGTAGCCACATCTATCAGCCAAATAGAACAAGGGTATGGGATATATACCTCATCGTTTCTCCCGTGGTATGCGATAATCTTGCCGCCTTTACTATAGAAGCTGGACAGATCAGTCTCGACAGCATTGACCTGTCCCGGGTTTAGTTTCAGAGCAATATCCATATCACTCTCACTGAAATTCTCGGGGGTCCAGCTGCTGCTGTTGAAAACAGCACCCCGCCAAAAATCTTGCAGGACTGTGTAGCTCAGCTTTGCCGTCCCGTTCGCTTGGTTCTCAGAGAAGACGTCTGTTTTCGAGCCCAATTCGAAGGAAGGATACACGATCTGACCTGAGGTGTTTGCGATCGGTTCGTACGCCCGACGTACTGATTCGACCTGCTGTGGGCTGAGACACATTGAGGAGTTTAGAACACCGGTGCCGCAAACAAGGCTTGCCGGGTCGAATCTGTGCTTGGTTGGTTCATCAATGATGCCGTCGGTCACGCCATCCAGCGGATCCAACTGCCGGATCTGAGCTTCAACGATGGCCGGCCATTGCTCCGGTCGCACATATGCGGACGAATTAAGATAAGGCCAACCAATTCGTCGAGCGAGTACTCCCTTCGACGCAACGATATGCAACCAGTCGATGCCTGGGCTTCCAAGCAGCAACCCGTCGAAGTCTCCCGGGTACAGATGTGCATTTTGAAACCCTTGGCGCCCTCCGGTGCTGCAACCGGCGTAGTAACTCTTCGCAGCTGCAGTCCCGTAGTATTGACGTATTATCTCCTTGCCGACCTCGGCTTCGACGTGAATAGCTCTGTGGCCAAAGTCGTTGATCACTTCAGGCTGGTTTAAGAAGAACTCGTACCCTACCGAGCCATTGTGTCCGGCGTTCGTCCCGAAAGATGCAAACCCCAACCCGGCGCCGTTCTGTATGGTCGAATAGTCAATACATCCGCCAATTCCACCGTTCCCTGTTGCCAGAAACTGCCCTTTCCATGTTTTAGGATCCGGAAGCCAGGCTTCTATTTGTACCTCACTCTGCGGGGTGGTGGCGACGATGAGCACAAGTCGACAGAGATCCGCTGTCACATTAGCTTTAAGATCTGGTCCACCGCAAGATTCCACAGTTCCGGGGAGTGCGATAGATGTCCCATTGAGCAAATAGTTATTGGCTACCACCGTTACATTAGGTATCGAAATTTCTGTGTTGAATGACGCACAAGCCTCTGGAGAGCATGACACCAGATGGAAGATGAGCCCAAGGAATATGGCAACGCCAAAAGTGGACGATCGCATCTTGACAACTGATGATTAGATGACTTATTGGATGTTAAGCGGACTTATCCCCCGCGTGAAGACGAGACGACCCAACGCCATATCTTAAGTATGTCTTCCGAGGAAGTCTTTAGCGGGTCTATGGGGACGAACTACTCAATTTCCCCCTCTCAAGACTCCATCTACAACCTTGTCGAAATGGCACTCATATCCAAGATTTTTTGTGCATTGAGGATATTTCATTCGCGATTTGGATTAGGACCGGGAATAAATAGCCCGTTCGTTCAACATTCGACGGTAATAAGAGCCGAGGAGACGGAACTCCACAGCCGAAGCGACCCAGGACGAAGCCCCTTCTCAAGGTTCTCCGCACCACGCTAATTACTCCATAATTACTACCCTACGGGGTCCTAGGAGATATACATAAATCTTGCTGTTCTCGTTTATTCAACATGTCCCAAAGTAGGCAACCTATGTAGATAGTTACGAAATGGATTATTAATGTACATGTTAACGATATGGTAGCCAATACTTCTGGAAGCCCCCTCGCCGCACCAGTGGAGATTCTGTTTCTATAGTATGACCATGTTGAGGTCTAGAGAGACGAATAACTCCAAGCGCTGTTGTATTCATAATACCGTTGTCCGGTGTCCCGTTAATTAGGTAGGTAAATAAAAAGGAAAAGGGATAGCCGTAAGGCTGACCGAAGATGGTATATTCTCTCAGCCCCTTCGCCCATAGGATGACACAGAGGAGCTCCCCGGAGAAGACCCTCCAGGTGCTATGTGGTGTTTTTTTTCCTTTCCTTTATAAACGGTTTTCGAACTGGAGTCCCACAGCAATCCTGTACCATTGCAAGGTCGGCACTCCTTAACTCTAGTAAAACTTATGATCAGCTTTCCGTTTAGAAATAATTATAAGGGTAGCCTACAATCTCGGAGTACCAAGGCAGTGAGGGCATGAATATGGCAAACTGTTCTCGGGACCGAACCCAAATATATCTCTATCTTCTATCGTAGATTTCGAAGTAGTATTTGTTGACTGGGAACACATGTTGAGACCTGCCAGCTTTAACAACGAATACGTCTAGAAATTCAAGTATATGAGACCGGAATATTTGGGTTTGACGTTGTAGGTTCTTGATAATGTCCCTCGAGGTAAAGTCTTCGAGTATCCTTATATAACAAAAGCAATGCTGCATTTTCCAAGTTTATTTGTCGCCGCTTCATGCGTGGCTTTTATATCCAAACCAATGACCCTCGTAAGCCAAGGACACACCGACTTACGCCATTATTTCTATTATGCAGTAAGTATCATTAGCTCTCGGAGGTGAAATAAAGTATCCGACATAAATTCTAGATTGGTCGAAGCAACGAGGAGGCTGGACGCTCTTCCCTGCCATCTAATAGAGACGAGACAAGGAAAACTGGCACTCCCGTCTACCGTATGATATATTGATATAAGATGACCTAGCCAGCTCAAAGTTGTATCACTTCGTACTAGGTCATGCCTGCAGTTCATATCTAGCTCCCAAGCCATGGCCGGGTATTGCTCACGAATCATACAACACCCTATGACCCAAAAGTTGTACCGTGCCTCCCAATACCGCTCTTTAGCTGCATATTGTGCTCTCTCAGCCTGGTAGGTCACTGTTGCATATTGATAGGGGTCGGCAAGGTTCGTTACTGGTGCCCTCATAACGGGCCGGTTTCTGCTTTGTTCGGGAGACCTTTTCTTTTCTAGAAGTATAGAAAATAAGTAGATTAGGTTTCAACCGAGACATTGGATGACATTCCTTCTTGCTAAGTGGCCCCGAAAATCATTGCTATTCCAAATTGGCCGATCAGCTGCAAGTAGCCGTAACTCGGGCTGCTTACTATAACATTCTATGGCGACACGTAATAGACACATCATCTAAAACCAGCCGCCTCTGAAAAATTGATGTCGGTGATTGGTTTACCAAGTTCTCAGACACGCGTAGCTAAATGGCTTTTTTTACTTTCATCTCGCATCGAGTCCGGCTTGCACAGGTACAAGGCGGTCGACCACCTGGCATCGGGATCGTTTTGACGAACCATATCAACTTCTTCCTGGCGATCTCAAGTCAATCACCCGACATGCATACGTAGCTACCCGTGCTTCAGAGATCGGATAATTTCCCTTGGTGAAAGCAATAGCTATAAGGCTAGTTCGATAAATAAGGTAATTTCCGATATTCACTTTGGTCTATAGGCATGTTGTGTTACAAAGAAGTAATCTAAACAACTGTGTTGACGGCATCAGGTGTGACCTCAAAACTGCTAAATTTGACATCAGATCCATTAGTATCTCGTGGCTAGCTTCACCGCTTCGTTTCGCTCTAAGCCAGCCCTACCAATACCTGCCTTCTTACGGCCAAGTGGTGGACAGTATGTTGTCAAACCTAGTCTAAACTAAACTAATTCAGGATAGATAAACCAGGTAAACTAGGTAGTTTTGGCAGAGGAGTTTCAGATACCACAGTACAAATCTTCGGATATGAGGCCTGCTCCTAGATGAACCATTGCAGTTAGATGGGTCTCAACATGAGGTATATTTTCGTCATGACATCAGTATTCGCTTCGGTTCTTTAATTCTAATCGCCTTTAACCAATACACGATAGAGGAGCCTAAAATATCCTGCATAAACTCCCTCCTGGCCAAGTTGCTAGACTCCGGAACTCAGTCTTCTATTTTAGCCGTATCATACTCCGTAGCACCCTTGTTTTACTTAGTTTAATTGGTATTCGTGGGATATGTTTTCATATAAAAAACGCTAGGGTCGACCTTGGTTTTAGCGTTGTTTTTGTATCGTGATGTGAACACCATCACGAGTAGGTCGTATCGTAAACTATGAAGGTACTCGAGAGATAGAGGGGTAAGCGACTGGAGTAATCTCTCTTAGGCCAACGCAAATCAAAGGACTTACGAAGTATCTAAGTACCCTGGGACAACTTTAGCGTACCATTTACTGCTG